GGGAATATTACAATATATTCAGGAAATATGTGGGATTACTGTACAGAGAAACCTGTGGACATGTTTATTTTACAAATTTGAACCTTTAGTAAAATTACATAAGAACAGGGTATTATATCATCTAATCAGTGTGGCTAAGGGCTTTTTTCCCAAATTCTGGCTAGCCCAGACCCACCAAGAATAAATTATTGGGTTAACTGAGTGGAAAATATCTATAAGATGGAGGAGTTGTGTCATATTGAGGAGGATAGAATAGAAACTTTTCAGAAAATGTGGTGTATCTGGTCAATTTTCAAAACATCTAAAAAATATCTGGACCTGGTTGGAATATATGTGGAAGAGTATTAGAGGAAGCTCTAATGGAGTATGTGACAGAGAGAAGGAGATAGGAAGGAAGGGATACTTACATAGATAATCATGAGAACAGATTGAAACTAGGAACTTGGATATGGACTGGAGTAATTGGAGGGGGAGAGGGTGAGAGGAAGGTTGGGATAGGGGAAAAGATGATGCAAATGGAATGTATGTGTATGTATTGGTGAAATTCTTGTTATTTCTGTGTACATCAGATGCTCTTTTTGTATTGGAAAAAAAAAAGATATAGCTGCCAGAGTGCTAAAGCTGGGTACACACTAAAGGAAAATCAGACAAGCGATTGTCGGGTTTTCCTAAATTGTTCTCAGAATGTCGATCCCAAGGGTGGTACTATTTGTATGAACATACTCGAACAACAAAGGCTTTTTTTTTGTTTGACGTAGAAATGTTGTGCATAGATTATATTGTTGTTTATTGTTTCCAATCATAGGCAGTCTTTCATATCTGATTTTTTTCGTACTTAAACAGTACACATTAAATTAAAATCATTAGTTCACGTACAAGAACAATTTTGGAGTTTGTCCCTTTGGAAACTTTTGTTAGGAAGGTCTGAATCGGGTGTCGAAAGTACTGTACACGCTATCAGAAAATTGTACGATTGTTCCGCGTATGGAAATGTTCGCCCAATTTTCTTATATTGTGTACCCTACTTAACAGCTGATGTCATTAGATCATGTGGGACCTGTCAGAGAGCTCATTGCAGACGTCTTGTCATCAGGTCAAGTGGGATCTGTCAGAGGATTGTAGTAGATGTTATCAAGTCAAATGGGACCTGTCTGGGGGGCCTATAGTAGATGCCATCAAGTCAAGTAAGACAGGTCATGAGAAGGGGGTAGTGATCAGATGGAGCACAAAGGTGTATCAAATTGACTTCATGATAGAGATGAAAATTATATATCTCTACATCTACTGACATAGATACACATAGTTCAGGTACCTAAAGATGCCTATACATACTGGGCAAGTCTGAATGAGTAAAGCCACTACACTTCCAGGTAGTTTTGGGGCTTGCCTGTTCCCTCCTGCCCCCAACATTAATATTTGCCTATGAATATGATAGGCTGCCTCACCGGTGAAAAGTGAAGCAGGCACAACAGGAGAATGTTGATCAGGATTTGCCTGTTCAGAGCAGTCCAACATTTGGAGGTGCAGAAGTAAATTAAAGGGGAACTCCTTACATTCTTCCAAAACCATTCTCCTCCATGCCCCGAAAGTAAAACAAAGTTTATATTCCCACAATAAAAGTATGGGGATGCAAAATATGTATTGAAATACTTATTTCCTATCCACTGCAAACTGCAGTTTTCTACAAAGCTACAAAAAAAAACTCATGTAACATGCTCTAGTAAACAATAGGTGGCACTAAAGCAGACTTTGTGTATATGTCTTCATCTTGGTAATCCATCATTAGGAGTGTTGTAGGAACATACTGTATAAAGTTTAGATGCCCCAAGCATGTCTTCTTTCTCTTATCTCTAGATGCTAAGCACAAAAAAGGCCACAACAGGAAATTACAGCCCCAAGAGCAGGGACAAAAACAGAGACACCTTGGCGCAAAACAGGGAGGTCTTGGTACAAAGGCAGATGCCTAAGTACAAGACGGACGCTTTGGTAAAAGACAGGGACACCTTGGTAAAAAAAAAAAAATGGGCATCTTCTTGGTACAAAACAGGGACGCCATGGTAAAAAGTAGGAATGTCTTGGTACAAAACAGGGATACAGTACCTTGGTAAAAAGTAGGAATGTCTTTGTACAAAACATGGACATTTTGGTACTAAACAGGGACACATGAATACAAAACAGGGACATCTTGGTATAAGACAGGGATACCTTGGTATAAGACAGGGATACCTTGGCACAAGATATAGACCCCTTGGTAGAAGACAGGAATGCCTTGGCAAAAAAAAATAGGAATGTCTTGGTAAAAAAACAAGGACATCTTGGTACAAAACAGGGACACCTAGATACAAAACAGGGACACCAGGTGTCACGGTGCACCCCCACCCCCCTTTGCCTGGTGTCCCTCTGCCATATCTCTTCACCGCTCTCTCCCCCATTGCAGATTCCTTGCATCCTGTCACAGCCTACTTCAAAGGCTGTGCAGGATTGGAGGAAGAGGCCCCTGTGGTGCGGGTTGCACCTCTCCCGGCAATGGCGCCAGAGAGTTGCGACTCCCCACCAGCAGGCGCAGTGCAGGCACAAGGCTTCCCACGCTCTGCGCCCGCCGGAGACAAAGGTCACACTCCTGAAAGCGCGGCCAGAGTCAGGGGGCATGCCTCATTGCCCATGCAATGCGACGCTGGGCTGGCTATTGCCGAGGCAACCGGGAAGCATCCTGCGCTCAAGAAGAGAACGGCTGTGTGGGGTCTGAGCTGAGGCCAGATCCCACAGCCCAGACCCCGCTGAGGGTCCCTGTCTGCTGATCGCTGTATCCCTGGGAAGCTGCCCCCTGCCTGCTAACCGCTGTGTCCCTAGAATGGTGAGCACCGTGAGGGTCCCTGTCTGCTGATCGCTGTGTCCCTGGGAAGCTTCCCCCTGCCTGCTGACCACTGTGTCCCTAGAAGGGTGAGCACCGTGAGGGTCCCTGTCTGCTGATCGCTGTGTCCCTGGGAAGCTTCCCCCTGCCTGCTGACCACTGTGTCCCTAGAAGGGTGAGCACTGTGAGGGTCCCTGTCTGCTGATCGCTGTGTCCCTGGGAAGCTTCCCCCTGCCTGCTGACCACTGTGTGCCTAGAAGGGGGAGCACCGTGAGGGTCCCTGCCTGCTGACCGCTGTGTCCCTAGAAGGGTGAGCACCGTGAGGGTCCCTGTCTGCTGATTGCTGTGTCCCTGGGGAGCTGCCTGCTGACCGCTGTGTCCCTAGAAAGCTGAGCACCGTGAGGGTCCCTGTCTGCTGATCGCTGTGTCCCTGGGGAGCTGCCCCTGCCTGCTGACTGCTGTGTCCCTAGAAAGCAGAGCACCGTGAGGGTCCCTGTCTGCTGATTGCTGTGTCCCTGGGGAGCTGCCCCCTGCCTGCTGACCGCTGTGTCCCTAGAAAGCTGAGCACCGTGAGGGTCCTTGCCTGCTGATTGCTGTGTCCCTGGGAAGCTGTCCCCTGCCTGCTGACCGCTGTGTCCCTAGAAGGGTGAGCACCATGAGGGTCCCTGTCTGCTGATCGCTGTGTCCCTGGGGAGCTGCCCCTGTCTGCTGACCGCTGTGTCCCTAGAGAGCTGAGCACCGTAAGGGTCCCTGTGTGCTGATCGCTGTGTCCCTGGGGAGCTGCCTGCTGCTGAGTGTCTGCAAGCCACCTGTCGTGAGTGTCCCTGGAAGCCGCATGTTGCGGAGTGCCCTGAACTGCCCCTATTGTGTGCCCAGATTACCCTTGCCTAAACTGCCCCTACTGTGTGGCAGGACTAATACTTGCTCGGACTGCCTATTGCGTGTCTGGAGTATTGTAGCTACCTGGACTGCCCCCTCAGTGCTCGGGCCATCGCTACCCGAATCGCCCTACAGTGGGCCGGATTATAACTGTTTGGACTCCCCCCCCCCTCTTCCCCCCCTTTTTTGGGTACCCGGACACTACCTTCCTACCCTGATTAAGTGCCTTCCATAGTTCAATAAAGCTCTGTGTGTTTACCATCTTCTTTGTGTGTTCTGTCCCACCTACGCTTCCCTCACACCAGGATACAAAACAGGGACATCTTGGTACAAAACAGGGCCACCAGGATACAAAACAGGGACATCTTGATAAAAGACAGGGATGCCTTTGTATAAAACAAGGATACCTTGGTAGAAGACAGGGCTGCCTTGGTAAAAAAACAGGAACATCTTGGTATAAAACAGGAACGCCTTGTTACAAAACTTTATTTACAGCAAAGTTTATGTTTTTCTTTGTTTCTATTGTTCTAAATACAACATCATATAACAACATATTTTTGAATTAAATCATAGATTCATGAAAATCTTTGCAAACATGACTGTGGTTGCTACACAATTTCAAAAGCACCTTTAATAGTTTCCTTGTGGTCAGACATCCAGTCTTCATATCCACATAAAACAGTTTCTACTGAGAGATCTTTTAAAGTGGAGTCAAGAAAACTCTCTGTCATAGTGCAGTAGGGATTGGTTAGATCCACCATTGAGTTGTCACTGTTGTCTGTAACATTTCTTCAGCGAATACACTAGTCACTGGTGAGTGCACTTCAGAGATGGAAAAATGAACGTTTAGCTCACAGCAATCCTTTGGGTGTCACCTGAACAGGAAGTGACAAGACCTGTCTCTTTTGGCATGGGTGATTGAGCTTACAGTGATCCAGAAGAAGACACTTCAGCTGCTATCATGTATTGGTATGGACGTCTTGGATACAGAAACGTAGTTGAGTGGAGTAAGCTACATCCAAAACCTAAATATATTCCTGCTGCCAACTGGTTAAACCATTATGTTAGTCAACAGAAAAGGAAAAAACATATATTTTCTTATATTTACTCAAAAATAAACACTCTGATCAGTCATATACAAATGAATATATGTACATTAAAAAACATCATAACTTGTCCTTTAACATTGTTATTGTTTTTTCTGGGACAACATCCATTCACACCTGCTCACAATACATATCGCAACTTTTGATGGATGTTTTTTTGCTGTTCATATTGCTTGCGTAACATTCACTATGTGCCGTTTCATGTGCAGAGCCAGATGATCAGAGCGGGCAAAATTCTTCTGGCACATCATACATTGGAATGGGCGGACACCGGTGTGCTTACGTATATGGCGAGTGAGTTCATCGGAACGGGCAAACTTCCAATAGCAACCATCCCATCCACACACGTAAGGTTTTTCCCCTGAAAAATAAATATCAGATATTATATTAAAATGATAAAGGGGTAATTACACTCAGGAGCCGGGTTACTGTAATAAGATATTACGGGGGAATAAGACACTCGGGAGCCGGGTTACTGTAATAAGATATTACAGGGGAATAAGACACTCGGGAGCCGGGTTACTGTAATAAGATATTACAGGGGTAATAAGACACTCAGGAGCCGGGTTACTGTAATAAGATATTACAGGGGAATAAGACACTCGGGAGCCGGGTTACTGTAATAAGATATTACAGGGGGAATAAGACACTCGGGAGCCGGGTTACTGTAATAAGATATTACAGGGGGAATAAGACACTCGGGAGCCGGGTTACTGTAATAAGATATTACAGGGGAATAAGACACTCGGGAGCCGGGTTACTGTAATAAGATATTACAGGGGGAATAAGACACTCGGGAGCCGGGTTACTGTAATAAGATATTACAGGGTAATAAGACACTCGGGAGCCGGGTTACTGTAATAAGATATTACAGGGGGAATAAGACACTCGGGAGCCGGGTTACTGTAATAAGATATTACAGGGGAATAAGACACTCAGGAGCCGGGTTACTGTAATAAGATATTACAGGGGGAATAAGACACTCAGGAGCCGGGTTACTGTAATAAGATATTACTGGGGTAATAAGACACTCGGGAGCCGGGTTACCGTAATAAGATATTACAGGGTAATAAGACACTCGGGAGCCGGGTTACCGTAATAAGATATTACAGGGGGAATAAGACATTCAGGAGCCGGGTTACTGTAATAAGATATTACAGGGTAATAAGACATTCAGGAGCCGGGTTACTGTAATAAGATATTACAGGGGGAATAAGACACTCGGGAGCCGGGTTACCGTAATAAGATATTACAGTGGTAATAAGACACTCGGGAGCCGGGTTACTGTAATAAGATATTACAGGGTAATAAGACACTCGGGAGCCGGGTTACCGTAATAAGATATTACAGGGGAATAAGACACTCGGGAGCCGGGTTACCGTAATAAGATATTACAGGGGTAATAAGACACTCGGGAGCCGGATTACTGTAATAAGATATTACAGGGTAATAAGACACTCGGGAGCCGGGTTACTGTAATAAGATATTACAGGGGAATAAGACACTCGGGAGCCGGGTTACTGTAATAAGATATTACAGGGGGAATAAGACACTCGGGAGCCGGGTTACTGTAATAAGATATTAGGGGGTAATAAGACACTCGGGAGCCGGGTTACTGTAATAAGATATTACAGGGGAATAAGACACTCGGGAGCCGGGTTACTGTAATAAGATATTACAGGGGAATAAGACACTCGGGAGCCGGGTTACTGTAATAAGATATTACAGGGGGAATAAGACACTCGGGAGCCGGGTTACTGTAATAAGATATTACAGGGGGAATAAGACACTCGGGAGCCGGGTTACTGTAATAAGATATTACAGGGGGAATAAGACACTCGGGAGCCGGGTTACTGTAATAAGATATTACAGGGGGAATAAGACACTCGGGAGCCGGGTTACTGTAATAAGATATTATGGGGTAATAAGACACTCGGGAGCCGGGTTACTGTAATAAGATATTACAGGGGGAATAAGACACTCGGGAGCCGGGTTACTGTAATAAGATATTACAGGGGAATAAGACACTCGGGAGCCGGGTTACTGTAATAAGATATTACGGGGGAATAAGACACTCAGGAGCCGGGTTACTGTAATAAGATATTACAGGGGGAATAAGACACTCGGGAGCCGGGTTACTGTAATAAGATATTACAGGGGGAATAAGACACTCGGGAGCCGGGTTACTGTAATAAGATATTATGGGGTAATAAGACACTCGGGAGCCGGGTTACTGTAATAAGATATTATGGGGTAATAAGACACTCGGGAGCCGGGTTACTGTTAAGGAATTAAAAACGCAGTTCACAGATCTAATTAGAATAATTGAGGATCAGAGAGAAATGTCAGCACCATTACGGCCTCTTACAGCAAGCCCTCCACTTACCTGTGTGTGTACGGAGGTGGGCCTTTAAGTGTGAGCTCTTGGTGTAAGACTTTTCACAACCAATGTATGGGCACTTGTGGCTTATAGCAGTTTTGTTCACAGTGGGCCGCCTATGTTTGGATTTCTTTCCTTTGGGAAGTGAAGGAACAGATTGGGTGGTTGTAGAGCATTTTGTGGAATTCGTAGATGAACACATTAGATTGTCAGTAAATGTCCTTGGCAGAATTGGCACCGGGTGTGTTTTGAAGTGGGTACTGGGTTCAGTAGCCTGCATTGGGTCAGACTTGGGTGGCTGTGGGTAAAAATATCCCATATAGTGTTGGACAGAGTCAGTGTTGTGTAGTATTCCTTGGCTCAGCGGACCATCACTGATCAGTGCTCCAGTCTCAGTTATCGCCATGTGGTGCCCAGAGGCCATGCTGCTTTCTTCAGAACTGCCATAGCAGTCTAATGGAGTCCCTGGAACATAGGACAGAGGTTGGTTAGGAGGATTATCTGAGGGCATAAATGGAAGATTGAATATGTCATGTTCCCAAGCTTCTGCAAAAGCCTGAAGCTGACTTTGGCTGAGGGTCATCTGTGGGGAATAGTTGGAGATGGCACTTCCAGGAGGCTCATGAAAGTTGTTTTGCAGAAATTCAGAGTCCCAGTAGTCATCTTCCCGTTTGAATGGAGATGCATGGAAGGTGTGGAGGGGATCACAATAACCAGTAGGGGGCACTATAGTCTCTTCTGTGGCAGGCACTGGGACGAAGCTGCTACTGATGTTCTGTTTGGGAAAGAAAATGGTCTTTGTGAGCATCAAAGAATCGGTAAGAAGTGGAAACTAAGAGTAAGGAAAGGACGAATGGAAAATATAGGAAGAGGAACAGGAGAAGAAAAGAAGGACAGTAAGGGCCTGGATGTTGGAACTACAGAACATCTTCCCCTCTCCTCTTTTCCATAACATAGGGGGAAGGTGCATTGTTGTCCACAGAGAGAGCTAAGAACAATGTAACTGAAAACAGTGTAGCAGACAGATAAAACAGCAATTGTTCAGCTCACACAATTTCTGGCAGGATCAACACTTTTTCTTGTTAACAGATATAACCGTGGTATATTAAATAGACCAAAAGGAAGCAAGTAAGCAGAGATGTGCACAACGGAAACATTTGGTTTGTTTCAGATTCATTCGTTAATATGTTAGAACGATTCATTTTCAGGATTAGTTTTGTATATTCGGATTCCGAATCATTTCGTGTTTTCAGGAGTTTTTTCAGAAGATCTTGTCTCCAAATACCACCCAAACTGTACTCTCCGCTCCTCGCAAGACCTCCTATTCTCTAGCTCCCTTGTCTCCTCCTCCCATACTCGCCTCCAGGACTTCTCCAGAGCTTCCCCATCCTCTGGAACTCCCCACCCCAATTTATCAGACTATCGCCTACTCTGCTCACTTTTAGGCGATTTCGAAACCTATCTCTTCAGGGAAACCTATTCTGCCCTCAGCTAATAATGGAATCTTCTACTCTTCCAACCAGTCCATCCCCCACAGTTACTACCTGTTGTACCACTAGCCCCTCCCTCTTAGATTGTAAGCTCCAAGGATCAGGCCCTCCTATCCCTCTTGTATTGAACTGTATTGTTGCTGTATTGTCTCCCGTTATATTGTAAAGTGCTGAGCAAAGTGTTGGCGCGATATAAATCCTGTATAATAATAATAATTAAGATTCATTTGTTACGTCTATGTTATTTCGGCGACTTCATTTGCGACTTGCTTGAGACTTCAACGCAACTTGCTTTGCGACTTTGATGTGACTTGCTTGCGACTTTGATGTTTTGCAACTTTGGCCTTGGCCAATCATAACAATACAGAGTGTGGCGCCTATTATTGAACTTACAAAACCCTCTGAAGTCACAAATGAATTAAACAAATGAATACGAATGAATTTGGTGTTTTTGTTATAATTTATTTCGGATTTGTTGAAATTCACTACTGTTGTGATTTGGAGATTCGGATACATCCAAGTCTTTGAATAGTGAAAATTTTTTTGAATTCTTAACAAAACGAATCACACATGTCTACAAATAAGAGAAGTTCATTCTTATGGTTTACATACACATAAACCTCCTAAATCCCAACCCTTAAAGTGGTTGGAAGGGCTCAAGGTTATTTTACCATCCTGTAATCTATGAATGAAGGTAAAAAACCTTCAGTGTGCAGCTGCCCCCCCCAGCCCCCCTCCAATCCTTACCTGAGCCCCCTCCAATCCAGCAACATTCTCCATAGCCTCTGCTGTCTGGGAACTCTTCCTCCTCCTTGGCTTAGACAACAGTGGGAGCCCATTGGCTACCGCTGCTGTCAATATCAGTCAGTGAGCCAATGAGGAGAGAGCGGCTCAGGAACGAGCAAGCAGCGGTGCCCCCAGGAGGCACTGCTTGAGGGGGAGGATCTAGGAGTGCCAGAGGGGACTCGAAAAGAAGAAGATCGGGACTGCTCTGTGCACAATCACTGCACAGAGCAGGTAAGTATATAGATGTTTATTATTTAAAAAAAAGAAAAAAGGAAGCTTTAGTGTAATCAGGTTGGGGGGGGGGACATTTTATATATATATATATATATATATATATATATATATATATATTTTTTTTATTTTTTTTTTTTTTATTTCAGGTACTTATATAGGGCGTCCATTTACACAGCACTTTACATATATATTGTACATTCACATCAGTCCCTAACCCTCAAGGGGTGTACAATCTAAGGTCCCTAACTATCATTCATACATATACATATTAGGGCCAATTTAGACAGGATCCAATTAACCTACCAGCATGTCTTTGGAGTGTGGGAGGAAACTGGAGTACCTGGAGGAAACCCACACAGGCACAGGGAGAACATGGAAACTCCAGACAGGAGGTGCCGTGGCTGGGATTTGAACCAATGACCCTAGTACTGCCAGGAGGAAGTGCTAACCATCCGGCATCCCAGTCTTAGTCCGTAGGGTTCAATATTGAGTTGGCCCGCCCTTTGCAGCTATAAGGCTATGTTCACACTAGCATTGTGTGCAGGCGGCAGAAAGGTGTTTGGGAAGCGTTTTTACCGCTTCCCAAACACCTCAGACAATTCTGCACATTGCAGCACATGGTGCTGTTCTAACGGGAGCGTTAGCGTCGTGTCAAGGCAAAACGGACGCCTCTTGTCGAGTCAGGAGGCAATGAAGCCTCCTATTCTAGTCTACGGATTGCCAGACAGAGAAGTGTGATTGGTCACTCCAGAGAACACATCTCCACTGCTCGAGAGTTCAGTGGCAGCGTGCTTTACACCACGGCATCCAACGCTTTGCATTGCACTTGGTGATGTAAAGCTTGGATGCAGCTGCTCGGCCATGGAAACCCATTCCATGAAGCTCTCTACGCACTGTTGTTGTGCTAATCTGAAGGCCACACCAAGGTAGGAGGTCTTTAGCTATTGACTCTGCAGACAGTTGGAGGCTTCTGCTTACTGTGCGCTTCAGCATGCGCTGACCCCGCTCTGTCATGTGACATGACCTACCACTTGGTGGCTGAGTTGCTGTTGTTTCCAGTTGCTTCCACTTTGTTATAATCCCACTAACAGTTGAGCGTGGAATATTTAGTAGTCAGGAAATGTTACGGATGGACTTATTGCACAGGTGACAACCTATCACGGGACCACGCTTGGAGTCACTGAGCTCCTGAGAGCGATCCATTCTTTCACAAATGTTTGTAGAAGCAGTCTGCATGCCTAGGGGATGATTTTATACACCTGTGTCCATGGAGGTGATTGGAACACCTGAATCACATGATTCAATACTTTTGGCAATATAATGTGTATATAGTTATTAGACTCCTCCCTGTAGAATAGTTTTATTACCTGTTGCTCCTGTATCATGTATTTCATTTTTTAATTTTTCCATAATTCCACTTTATCTCATTCCTGTCTGGCCTCAGCATTCCTTTACCTGGGTCTTTGACGGACTGCCCGATCATACTACCAAACATGCTCTTGGTCATGTGACCACTTTGACAGCTGACCACAGTGGTCACATGATCAACAGGCCATCTGTCTGGCTCTTGATCATTACAAGAGACCTGGAACGGCCAGCAGCCATAGTGAGCACATTCTCTGCACAAGGAACTCAGCCGTCCATGGACGCATATATACCGTATGTTGGCATTAAAACCGACCCTCTTTGCAGCCACATATATGCGTCTTCGAGGGACAAGAGGTTAAGTCATATGAATAAAACCTGACCATTTAGGCACCCCTTTATGGTTTGTCCCTCCCAATAGATTTACTGGCAGAATATAAAAGTAACAAATTATGTTACGGGGGCCTCAGAACAAAAACTGCCGTGTTACAGGAGAACTAAACTTGCTATAACAAATGACCAATGGACACATACAAAATCTCTTTTGCAATAAAAACGTGTTACTAAACCCAGCATTCACTATAACTGGTCTCCCTGGACCCTGCATTCACTATAACTGGTCTCCCTGGACCCTGTATTCACTATATCTGGTCTCCCCGGACCCTGCATTCACTATATCTGGTCTCCCCAGACCCTGCATTCAGTATATCTGGTCTCCCCGGACCCTGCATTCACTATATCTGCTCCCCCCGGACCCTGCATTCAGTATATCTGGTCTCTCTGGATCCTGCATTCACTATATCTGGTCTCCCAGGACTCTGCATTCACTATATCTGGTCTCCCAGGACCCCGCATTCACTATATCTGGTCTCCCCGGATCCTGCATTCACTATATCTAGTCTCCCCGGACCCTGCATTCACTATATCTGGTCTCCCCGGACCCTGCATTCACTATATCTGGTCTCCCTGTACCCTGGATTGACTATATCTGGTCTCCCAGACCCTGCATTCACTATATCTGGTCTCCCCGGACCCTGCATTCACTATATCTGGTCTCCCCGGACCCTGCATTCACTATATCTGGTCTCCCTGGACCCTGCATTCATTATATCTGGTCTCCCAGACCCTGCATTCACTATATCTGGTCTCCCCGGACCCTGCATTCACTATGTCGGGTCTCCCCGGACCCTGCATTCACTATATCTGGTCTCTCCGGACCCTGCATTCACTATATCTAGTCTCCCGGACCCTGCATTCACTATATCCGCTCTCCCCGGACCCTGCATTCACTATATCTGGTCTCCCCAGACCCTGCATTCACTATATCTAGTCTCCTGGACCTTGCATTCACTATATCCGGTCTCCCCGGATCCTGCATTCACTATATCTGGTCTCCCCGGACCCT